TCCTCACAGGACTTGGTCTCCAGACCCCTCACCATCTTTGCACAGGATTGTAACACAAAGACTGAATTATCTAGAGCTCCTGTAGTACCTAGAAAAATGAGTTGTGCTCTCAAGTCCCTCAATACAAAGATGACCTCAGTGTTGCCTTAAGCTAGTTGCTCTCCCCCACCCCCCAGCAAGATTGTATTTCCAGCCTACACTACAAGGTTGTTGCAAGAATTACTGTGAAAATGCATATTAAATACTTTGAATCCACTAGATTATTATTGAATTATCAGATTCAGCTGGTACACACGGAATTTAAATACAAAAAATCGCTAGTGCAATTGATTTAAGTACATACACCCTGCCTCAGGTTAAGGTAGGGTACCTGAATTGACACAGATCAACACCAATGATTTTAGTGAAAGTAAAGAAGAATAAAGAAATCAACTCAGCTAAATTAGGCACAACTGAATCCCACTGAAAGCCAGGAGGTTTAAGATGATCAAGGCTTTGTTAAATTCAAATCTGAAAGTACTTTGGGAAAAAATATTTTGCTTTTGACTGCAATCAGGCAGGAATACCCAAAGAACCCAGTATCATAAGGAAATGTATTTTAACATATCAACATAAAAAACAGAGAATGACACACAACTAAGCTACTATCTTTTTTGTCCACCAACCATACTGAAAGCATTTTGCTTTTATTTGGCTCTATCAGGAACAATAAAGCCAAAATGGAGCACTTTTGTACCCATGTAACACCAAATTGGAGAATTACACTTGTGCTTGACATTCCCACTGAAATCAATGGGACTTAAGTGTAGCTCACGTGGGCACGATGAGGCCCATGGCTCTCATAGATCAAGTTGCCCATATCTCCTTCACCATAAGTGCTTATCCCACATGCACATCCCATTAATTCATGATACTAGGAAAGCATTCTAAGTTCAGCACCAGCTTCCCTTTGGCTGTTCATGATGAACCATTCTCTCTAAATGCCAGATTCCTCACACAAAGTCATTCTAACATTGTTCTGAGCTCTTATGTGCTTTATTTCAAGAGACAAGCGGATAAATGCCTTAAATCCTCCCATGAAACCTTCAGAGGGCAGCAACAGCAGCAGATTTTTGCTTTGGGGCTGTCTTTTTATACTTCCCCTGTCTGTTGCAATTACAGATAACGGTAATGGAGGCAGTCAACTTCCTAGATGCCTCATTTTACATGACATGGTTCCTCTTTCTTTCTTTTTTTAAAAAAAAAACTGCTGACCAAGAAAAACCAGGCCAAAACAATTTTTGGAAAACAAGGTTAAACCAAAAAAAATGCTTTGTTAATATAAGGTTGATACCAAAAGTGACACACTCTTGGAGCAGAAATAATGGAAAAACAGAATAGCAGCCCCCCACCCCACCTCACCTCACATAATATAGTACCATAATCAGAAATGAAATACTTTAGCCAGCTTTTAATCATGAGAGCAGGATGGTAATGGAAATACAGGGTTTTATGTTTTTTATTATTATTATTTATTAAACATGCCCTTTCTCCCTCCAGGTCATGAAAATTCTACAACTGAGATCTTCATCTCTGAAAAAGATTATAGTTTCCCTCCCAGAACTCCACAGGAGTCTCTCTGTGCTTGTTTCTTTACTTTCTCTCGCACACTTTCTGGCAAGCCCTGCCGCAAAACATGCCTCCGAAATTCGCATCCTTGCCACTCTTTGCCCAGCTCCGCCAATCCTCGTGGAAGAGGTATCAGCTGACAAAAAGTGCAAGCAAACGCCAACAAAAGTGACAGCCCGGAGGCCCCCTGCATTGGAACAAAGACCTTAACCAGGCGATTAATACTGCGGGAGGAGGACGGAGAGAGGAAGCGGCTGGGAGCACAACAACGGCCACGCAGAGCCCCGGAAAGAAGGCGCCCGCCCGCCTGCCTCACTTTACCTGGGACATCTGAGGTCTCAGGTTGATCTCCTTGAGGTTGATGGAGTGCGCGCGCAGATTGTTGAGCAGCTGGCAGAGCAAGACTCCATCGCGGAGGGTCTGGGCCAGGTCGAACACCTGCGCCGTGTCCCAGGTCACCCGGTGGTTGACCGGCAGCACCCGGCACTGGATGAGCCAGTGGGCGCATTGCTTCCAAGGCTCCATCTGCGCCGGCGAGGAGCCCCGAACTCGAAAGTCGCGCACGGCTGCGCTCCCCAGCCGCCCCTTCTCCTCCTCCGCCGCCTGCCGCACCGACTCTTCCTCTCTCGGTCCCTCGCGCACACTGCCGAGAGCAGCAGCCCGAGAGGCTGCGCGTGCAGTTTCCCTCCTCCTCCTTCCCCCCCAGCAGAGAGGTAGGGACGAGAGAAAAAGCAGGAAGCCAGGGCGCGTGCGCCCACCCGCGCGCTGGGCTGTGCAGTTCGGGGCCCTCAAAGGCCCCGCGCGTGTTCGTCTCACGACCTGAGCTCGACAGTGGCCTGAATCCTTTGGAACAAGAGAAGAATCAGAAAGGTTGGGAGTTGACCCAAGCCTTCGTGTCACCTGATTTTGCTGCATTATGCGTTGGAGCCGAAACGGTCCTTTGAAAGCAGCAGCGTGGTACGTAGTGGTTAATAACAGTGCTGGACTAGTATCTCTAGGAAACTTGCGTTTGAATCCCCACTCTGCCATGGAAACTCGCTGGGCGACCATGTGCCAGTCACACTCTCTCAGCCTAACCTACCTCACAGGGTGGTTGTGAGGATAAAATGGAGAAGAGAACAGTCGAAGCAACTTTGGGTCCCCATTGGGGAGAAAGGCAGGGTACACAAAGTCAGTAAATGTAAAATGAATAAAGTGACTCCTTAGTGCCCACAGAGAGAGAAAGGCCCTCAACTGCTGTCTTTTCCACATGTGCCAGACATAATACCCGGTATTTCTTCTGATAGAGTTCTCAAATCAAATTCAATAAAATCATCCAAACCATCTGTGGCATATTTTATTGCTATGAGTGCACATTGTTTCATTGAAAATACTGGTGTTGCTGCAGCCCTAGTGCTATGTTGCTCATTACTGTGAGTGCACATTGTTTCGTTGAAAATACTGGTGTGGTATGTGTTGCTGCAGCCCTAGTGCTATGTTGCTTGTGCAAGCAGAACTGTATGAAGTACATTTTTCTTATCACATATTGGAAGATCCCAGCCATGGCTTACTGGCCCCTGGCAACATAAAAGTTCTCTTTGTTGTGTTTGTCCTGTGATGATCTGTTCACAACTGCAAGCCCTCAAGTGGAACACTGAAGGTATATGTGAAAGACCCATGGCATATGTTCTGAGAGTTGTGGGGGATAACTGCTTTCATAGAGCCCCTTCATGTGTTATTAATTTTCTGTAGAGAAAGGAGCCAATGAGCAACCTATATATAGATTGTTTCAGGAGGTAGACATGTTGGCGTTATTACATGTGCTATTGAGAACCAGTTGATTGCAGCCTTCTGGCACGTATGCAGCAAGACACAAACTCCCAATTGGGTTTCCAGTTGTCACAGTGAACATTTGAGTGTCACACTGCCTGGAAGGTAACTCCTTGAACAAAACAAGGCTCTGTCTTGAGGCCTGATTATTAATTGTTTCACATGGTCCAGAACAGCCTTTACATAACAAGGCTGAGCCCAGGTTTAAACCTTGCCAGTGAAAATAAACCATGCCCAAGTCAATTGGGTAGAACTGGGAAGTAAGACGTGTATAAGAGAAATTGTGTATGAGTGCTCCCTGTTGTTACACTTTAGCAGTCTATTGAATTCCGATATGGGCTGCACAATACAAGATGACTGACATCATCCAAAGTGGGCAGACTTGGAAATAATATGCACAGCAGGAGTAGGACTTTGATCATACATGTTCCTCAAGCTTTAAAACTTAACGTATTAATGAGCTCTTAGGGGAGGAGTCATGGTTCAGTGGTCGAGCAACTGTTTGGCATGCAGAAGGTCCAGGTTCAGTCCCTGACATCTCCACTTAAAAGGATCAGGTGGTGGGTGATGCGAAATACTCCTGCCTGAGACCCTGGCCTGAAGCACTTCTGCCAGTCTGAGTAGACAATACTGACCTCGATGGACCCTTAGGTCTGATTCCGGCAGCTTTATGTGTGTTTTTGTTTGAAACACCCAGTTTCTGAAATTCAGCCTGTACTTCGGGGGGGGGGGGGCACAAAATGTCAGGT